CACCGCTTCCAATATCGACGCTCGCCCCGTTAGTGTGGACTCACAAAATCGAATTACTCTCCTTGGTGTGGACACACACGTTCGACTTTGCAATATCGATTACACATATTCGATTTAAGTAAAATCGAATTACCCTCGTAGTGTAGACATACCCTAAGTGACATAAGTTTTGCAGACATAAGTTTCCTTAACAACCTTTTGTGAGGAACTTTTTCAAAGACTTTGAAAGTCCACATCAATTATGCCATTGGGTTCTCCTTTGGGCCATACTGTACTGACATACTCACTGACATTTTAATAGATTAGTGAGACACAAGCCTAGTCTATTCTAGGAATTTATATTGGTATAATTAAGTTTTTCAGGAGTGTGAATCCACACCCCTGAGAGATGTAGTTTATATTTACCAAGCTAACCCCTGGTGTAGACAGAGCTAGGTCGACGGAAGAATCAACCTAGCTACTGACTCTGGGGGAGGTGGGTTACCTGTGACGATGGGAGAATCCCTCTCCTCAGCGTAGGGAGTGTCTATGCTGACGCCCCACAGCAACAGTGGTGCAGTTGCACTGCTGTAGGGGTTTAAGTGTAGACATACCCACAGTTTACTTTTCCAGCTGTGCTAGTTGGGTTTGTTCCCATCATTCTCATACAGCTCATTTAGAATTCTGGTTTAGTTCTTGTTTCAGCCAGTTTACCAGGCACTGACGTAAGGCTCACTGGGCTGTAACTCTCAGAATTACTCCGGACAAATTTGTAAAGCTGGGTACAACATTCCCAACCCGCTGAATCTCCAGAACAGGAGCTGATTTTAATGAGAGATGCATATTATCATTAGCAGCTCAGCCATATCGCTCTGACGTCATTTCCGAACTCTTGGGCGTTTGGCACTTGGCAGGGATCTACGCTGCTCTTGGTGGCTGCTGGCTCTTTAACTTATCAGTTGTTCCAATATCTCGTCTTCACACCTCAATCCCTGATATTCATTTCCTGAACAGAGCAGCTCCAGGGCAGGTCTCTCCCCAACATTCTCTGTGGTGAAAACTGATGCAAAGAAATGAGTCAGTCTCTCAGCATTGTCCTTACCCTCCCCAATTGCTCCTTTTCCCCCTGCTGATCCAGGGGACCCATCGATTCTCTCACAGGCTTCCTGATTTTGCTGGATTGAAATAATTCTCTGGAATTTGTTTTAGATCTCTGGCTGTTCACTCTTCTAATTCCATTTTAGCCTCGTAATTCCCATCATGCACTTCACCTGATGTATTGCATGCTCCTTTCTGCTGGCTTCACAGCGTTAATATTTTCCACTTGCTCAGGGATCCCTGTTTGGCTCTAACAACCTCTTGTGCCTGGCCGGGTGGGGTTACAATATTTCTCCCCTTGCTAATTCATTTGCTGCTCAGGGATTGTAGGTGTCTGGCTGCTGATGTAGCCTCCAGGCTGAATCTAAGGATTTAACTTCCTTGCTTTAAAGTCTTTTTGACTCACTTCACTTTGTTTTATTTTTAGACAAACTCCAGGCTGAGCTCAGTAAGTTCCATTCCCCCCTGTATCACCCTGTGTGACATTGTCTCCTGCTCAGCATGTCGGTGTTCAGGGGAATTCTCACCCCTCTGTCTGTGTTTGGTTGCAGGGTGGAGACGTGCCCAGATCTATGCAGGTACTGTACATATCACTGATGTTTTATCCATGGTGAGACCCACCTCTCCCTGAGAGCTCTCTGCTCCTTTCCCTGCACAGAGCATTTTCCTATGACATTCAATAGGCTAGAAACAGCAATGTCACCGGGGGCAGATGGAAAGGGACAGACAAAACCCAGGTTTATTGCAGAGCAGGGACATGCTCCCTTTGGGAAAGGGCTGATTAGTGATGAAATGCTGGCCCCTGGTGTCACCTTTCCAGGGCGGTACCTGGGCTCTGCAGGATGGACATTCTTATCTGGCCATAATTGAACTGAACTGCCAAGCTCTCTCTTCCCAGCAGCAGGATCAGATCAGGCTTTAGCCACAATTTCCTTCTAGTGTAACAGGACCAGGCAGGAGCTGTTCAGTGTCCCCTGGATTTGGGGGGAGGGAGGCCCTGTCCCCACTGCAGGGGCAGACACGTTTTTATAACCAGCTTGTGACACTCACCTGACCAAGTTACAACAAATTGTGCCCACGCAGCAGCTTTTCTGCCTCACAGCTGTGGCTGAGCTGTGTGTGTGTGTTTGCTCCCAGCCTGGTGCCTGACCGTCTGTGCGCCCTGTGCATGCTGGGAGAGTCTGGGCAGCTCTAACAGGGATCAGACACACATTGCAGCACCAGTGGCCCAGAGGTACATGCACTCTGGGGTATCCTACCGCATAGAGCTGGGGTGAGGGACTCCAGGGCAGTTACACAAACACCACTGGGGGTCCTGTTAGGGTCGCCACCTCTGAGGTGCAAAAAATCCAGGACATCTTCCTGCTCCGTATACACCACCTGTCCCCTCACCATCCCACCCCAGGAACTGTGTCCCTATCCCACCCCTGGGAGAGGGCACCAGCCCCCATGGGCTCTTGTTCCTGGGGCTGTGCCAGGCACCAACCTTGCCAAGCAGGACACGGTGCCAGATCTACTCCCCTCCCACCCCCGGTAGTGACCCCCCACATCCGGTACCTGCGTGGTGTAAAGAAGCCCTACTGGCCCCGAGCTCCCCTTCTCACTTGCTGCTCTCAAGCTGCCCCATCCCTGCAGCTCCCAGACTCTTTGGACCCAGAGCTGTGCAGGCACTGCCACCCCGCAGCCCCCCTGCTACAGCCACTGACACACCCAGGATTAGTAATGTCCTGGGCAGACTCACAGATTTCCCAGGACAGTGACCTGAACAAAGGGACGATTGTGGGAAACCTGGACAGGTGGCAACCCTAGGTCCTGTCCACACAGCACAGTAAAACCCAGCTGAGCCGGGTACAGGCAGCCAGACACCTACCAGCCCAGGCCACTGGCAGGGACACTGAGCTGCCAGGGTCACTAACTGTGTTAACTCCCCCACGTGCCCCACACCACGCTTAGAGCCCCCAGGGCCCTGGGCCCAGCCCAGAACAGCTGTCACCTAGACTCATGGCAATGCAGGGCTGGAAGGGACCTCGAGTGGCAGGAGTTTGTCCACTTCTTACAAACCTCCAGTGACGGGGATCCTACAACCTCCCTTGGAGCCGGGTCCAGAGCATCACTGCCCTGAGAGTTACAAAGTGTTTCCTCATCTCCAGCCTCAGTCTTCCTTGCTGCAGATTGCGCCCATTGCTCCTTGGACAGGCCCTTGCCCTGCTCGCTGGGGGCACTGGGAGTGTCACCATGTGTGAGCATCACTGTTATCACACTGAATGGCTGGGGCGGCTCAGGGCAGCAGTGAGGGCAGCTGGGGCATTTCACTCCCCAGTCACCGATCCCAGCCCAGGCTGAGAGTCCGGTTGCCAGCGGACAGGCTCACATCGTAACTCACCTTAACAGCAGCCTCACCGGCCACCTCCGCAGGGAGGCCAAGGCCTGAACAGGTTGCAGGGATGATTTCTCCCCAGGGAGAGGCTCCAGCAGGTGTCAGGGCTGAGCCATGTTGGCAGGACAGTGGAGGGCTCACACGGCTGCTGTGACATCCTCGTACCCTCCATACTCAGAGCTCCAGCAGCCGGGGTGTAAATCCAACTCGTACCCCCAGCACTGAACTCACTGACCCCCTCCTGAGGGGGGAGGGGGTGAGTAAGGGCCACCATGGGGGCCATGGTGGAGGTGCTGGGTGGAGGGGGAGAAGCTGATTGGCAGGGCTGCCAGTGTGTGATCCAGCCCTGGAGCACCCACTGATTCGGCGCCTATGCACATCTGTGTGTTTGCCGGGTGCGCAGAGCTCTCCGGGTGGAGACACTTTCACGCTGACTCAGGAATCGGTGCTGGGAGGCCCCACTGCCCAGGAGGGCTCTTGCTCCCCTGCCCTGGGGGGTGAAGGGAGGGGCCCTGGGACTGCTGTTCCCCGTCCCAGGAATGGGGTGAAGAGGATGTGGACATAGACAATGTCCCTGCTTGCGCTGTGAGGGGCAGACCCGGCTGCACCCTGGGCTTCAGAGCCTGAGCTCCAGCCTGAGGCTGAACGTCTACACAGCTACTTTTAGTGCCAAAGAGGGCACCCCGCAAGCCTGAATCTGTCCAATCCATTCTGAGACTCTCTGCCACGGGCTGTGTTGATGAACCCAAAGTGTCTCCAGAGTCTGGGTGTGAAAGTTCCCAGCGTGTCTGACCCAGGGCTGGTTAATGAGAGCGAAGGGGGTGGCTGGTGTAGTCGTTAGATGGAGACACCTGAGCCCCTGAGGCTCTGAGACGGTCTCTGTGACCATTATCTGCTCTGGGAGACGCCCAGGTGCAGCTGCAGAGGGTCTGTGCCACTAGCAGCATCCATGGGACAAATCGCTCTGGGGCAGAGAGTTCAGGCTGGAGCCGAGTCTCCATTTTCAGCCTGATTTGTGGGGTGACGTGAGATCAGGGGTCCAGGGGGAATATTTCTACCCAGGGCAAATTAAACAGCAGCTCTGGAGTGTTTCATAGCTGATGTCCTGAGTCTGGCCTGCCCGTAACTGTGTGTTTCTGGGGATGTTGACAGTCACTCACTGCAAGTCACTGGGATTTGGGCTCCTAAGTTGCTCAGACAGGTTTGCAGTGGAGCTGAGTGAAATTTGGGTGCAAATAGTTTGTTTGCAGAAAAATTATATTTCAGGTCGATTGAAACTACTTGCCAATTCATGTTGAGTTTTCTGAATAGTTTCAATGAACAGAAAAAGGTGCCACCTGCCGCTTCCCTTCTAGCCTTTAGCCCAGTGACTGGGCCCTCAGTCAGGAGTCCCAGGTTCAATCCCCCCACGTGATGTGGGGCAGGAATTGGAATGTGGGTCTCCCCACCTCAGGTGAGGGCTGGAACCGCTGGGCTCCAGGTGTCTGATCTGAGGCTCCCTCAATCTCTCCTGCTGAAGACATCCCCCTGTGTCCAAACACTGCCATGGGCAGTGGGCCAGAGCGTGGGAGTGAGAATGACTCTGTGGCCCAGTGGGTTGATCCCCACCTGGGAGCCCAGAGTCCAGCTCCCCTGCTCCAGTGACCCTGTAATTATTGATCCATAACCCCAGTGAGGGGAGGGGTTACGGCCCCTGGCACAGCAGTGTCTCAGCCATGTCAATGCCCCACTGCAAACCCCTAATGCTGACGTGCTGCGTGAGTGTGAACTGGGACTGGCCCCCAGATGGAGGGGGCAGGCTCCTGTCTGAGGATCAGAAACAGGTGAGATGCAGAGACACACGCCAGGATCTGCCTGACAATCCTGAGAGATTTGATTATCTGATTATTGTGAGTTTGTTCTGTGTGTTAGGATTGCACCGACCTCTTAGTAACAAACCAACCACACATGGCCCCAGACCAACAGAGATTTCCTGGGGCCTGCCCCCTTCACCCCTCTACACCCAGGGCACCTGCCCCTCCCTTACCCTTCCCTCACCCCTGTGCTCACCTGGCCCCTACCTCTATCCTCCCACCTTCCACTGCGCCCCACCCCCTCGTTTCAACCCATTTCTGCTGCCCTTGGCCTCTGCCCCTGTCCCCCCGCTTTGTCTCCCTGGCACATGCCCCTGGGTGTGGGTTGGGATCTGGGAAGTAGCTTGGGTGCGGGATGGGTATGGGCTCTGGGAGGGAGTTTGGCTGCAGGAGGGGGTGCAGGCTATGGGAGGGAGTGTGGGTGCAGGGTGTAGGCTCTGGGAAGGGGTGCAGACTCTAGGCTAGGGCAGGCAGTTGGGATACTGGAGGGAGTCAGGGGGTCGGCGCTTACCTCGAGCGGCTCCTGAAAGTGGCCAGCACACGCCTCTGGCAGCGGCTCCAAGACGAGTGGGCCAGAGGGTCACCATGAACTGCTGCCTGCTGCTCCCATTAGCTGCAGTTCCTGGCCAATGGGAGCTGCGGAATTGGTGCTCGGGGCGGGGGCAGTGCGTGGAGACCCCCCACCCCAGGGGCCACAGGAACATGTCGTTCCGCCGGCCACTTCTGGGAGTGGCGTGCTGCGCTGATGGGCAGGAAGCCTGCCTTAGCCCCGCAGCTCTGGTGGCGGCGGCCGGGGGCCCCCCAGGGCTTTTTACATCTCCTGGGCCTCTGGGCAGTTGCTCCCTTTGTCCCCCCCCGTGTTGGCAGCCTGGCCACCTGGCATCCCCCTCTCCCTTTTCCCCCTCTGATCCCATGTCTCCCACCCTCACGTTGCCCCCATCTGCCCCCCTGTGCCTGCCACTGCCCTCACCCCCGATTCCCACCCCACCCTCCTCTGCTCTCCTGGGTCCCGCCCTTCTCCTCATCCCCTCACCCCTATCCCTCCCCTCGGCCCCTGTGCCCACCCCTCTTCTAGCCCCATTCTGATCCCCTTTGCCCCTCTGGAGTCCTCCCGTCTACTCACCCGTCCCTCTGCCCCACTGGTGCCAGCCCCTCCCCGCCGCCCTCCTTTTGTATGCCCCCTGCTCACCCCCACTCAATCCCCCTGGCACCTGCCCCTCCCTTTGCCCCCTTCCTGCCTGGTGCCCACCCCCCTCTGCCCCACTGGATGCCCTCCCCTCTGCCCCTGGCACCCACTCCTGCCCTTCCCCTTTCCCTCCTTTTGCCTTCCCCTTCCTTTCCCTCCCCTTTAGTCCCCCTGGCACCTGTCCTACCCCTTTGGAACCCACCCCTTCCCTTGTCCCCTCTACCCCCTCCTGCCTTCCCCTCCCCTTCCCCTTGTTGGCCCTGGTGCCTGCCCCATTCCACACCCCACGACTGTCCCCCCCCCCAGTGCCCGCCTCTCCCCCACTCTGCCCCCAGGTGCCTGCCTCTTCCTTCTCCCACACAGACTACCTCCCCTACCCTTGCCCCCTGGCACAAGCTCCTTCCCTCACCCCCTGTGCTCTGGTGCCTACTTCTTCCCTCATGTTCCCTTGGCCCCCCTGGTACCCACACCTCCCTTCACACCCCTCTGTCCTTCTAGTGCCTGCGCTTTTCCACACTCCTCTCTCTGCCCCCTCATGCTCACCTGCTCCCTCACCCCCACTCTGCCCCCCACCCTCCTTGTGTCTGTCCCTCTGCTCGAACCCCTTAACCCTCCTGGGGTCTGCCCCTTCCCACCATCTCCCTCTTGGTGCCCACCCCTCCCCTCACTCCCCCTATTCCCCTCTGGTGCCTGCCCCACCCCTCAAAGCCTTTGTCCCCTGGTCACCTGCGCCTTTCCCCCATCCCCTCCTTTGCCCACCTCATGCCCCTTCCCTCGCTCCCCTCTAGCCCCCTGGTGCCAACCCCTCCTTTTTAACCCCCTCTGTCTCCCTGGTGCCTGCCCCTCCACTCACACCTTGTGTCAGCTGGTGCAACCCCCTTCCCTCTGCCCCCCTCTGTGCCCCAGTTCCCCTTCTCTTACCCCCCTTTGGCCCCCTGGTTCTCACTCCTCCCCTCTCTTCCCCTAGGCACCAGTCCCTCCCCTCATCCACCCTGTACCCCCTGGTACCTGCCCCTCCTCTTCCATTCCGCGGCTCACCCCACTCTGTTCCCTGACACCAGCCCCTCCTCTCTGCTCTGCCCTCCAGTGACCGTTCCTGACCTAGCCACCTCCTCTCCCCCAGGTTCCTGCCTTACTCTGTCCCCCTGGTGCCTGCCTGTTCCCTTCCCCACACCCCATGCTCCAGGTGCCTGCCCCACTCCTCATCCCCCCACCCCTGGCACCTGACCCTCCCCTTGACTCCCACCTGCCCCTCTGGAGTCCAGCCCTTTCCTCATTTCTACTGCCCCTTGGAGCCCCCCCATTCCCTTACACCCCCCTTTCCCCCTGCTACCTGCCCCTTCCTTTGCTTCCCTGTGCCTGCTGGGGTCTGTCCCATTTTTCTTGGTGCCCACCCCTCCCCCAGGGCCACCCGGGGGGAGCAAGTGGGGCAATTTGCCCCAGGCCCTGGGCCCCGCAGGGGCCCCCACGAGAATGTCGGTGGCTCCCCTTCACCCCCGCTTTCCCCCATCCCCCGGCACCTCAGCACACCATGTCCAGGAGCGGCCCCGGACAGCGCTGCAGCAAGCGGCGTGGCTCCAGCGGGGCCTGAGCTCCTCCCGCTCGGAGCCACGTGGTAAGGGGGTAGGGGTGGGAGCTCAGGCCCCACTGGAGCCACAGCGCTGCAGCGCTGTCCAGGGCCGCTCCTGGACGTGGTGCGATGAAGCTCTGGGAGAGGGGGGAGGCGGGGGTAAGTGGCATGGTAAGGGGGCTGGGACCGGGCACCTCCCGACCACATCCCCCCACAGCCCTGACCCCCAGCTCCGAGCCCAGCCCCCCTGAGCTGGACACCCCCCTGACCCCATCCCCCCCACAGCCCTGAGCCCAGACCCTGTGAGCCGGGCACCCCCTGACTCAGAGCCCAGCTCCCCACCCAGCCCTGGGCAACAGCAGCGCCACCCCCAGGCAGTGACAGCCCATTGGCACCAACCAGCACCATCATCCAGCGACAGCCCATTATGTAATTGCAAATGTATACATACCAGTAAAGCATTTAATGTTTTTAAATAATGTACTTTGTGTATTCTCAAATTATTAAACATTAATTTTTGAATGTATTTCACTGGTTATTTTTTACATTTCCAAATACATGTTACTATAGTATTGCAACTTTTTTTTATGGAAGGGGCCCCCGAAATTGCTGTGCCCCAGGTCCCCTAAATCTTCTGGGCAGCCCTGCCCTCCCCTGACCCCCTGGAACCTGCCCTGCCCTTCTCCCCCCACTCCTGGTGCCTGCTCCTTCCCTTGCCCCACCCCCATTGCTCTTGTGTCTGCCCCTCCCCTTACTTGTCTTTGCCCCTCCCCTTTCCTCTCCCAGCATCAACCTGACCCCTCCCCATTACTCTCTTGCCCTCACCTTCCCCAACCACACTTTGCCACCTGCCCCCCCATGCTCCTGTCGTTCCCCTCAAGTTCACTCTCATGAGCAGATGGGGCCCTGACTCCCCTCGGGCAACAACCCCCCAATCAGTGATTAACAGGGATGCAGGTTAATTTCCCTTTGATCCCAGTGACCAGCCCCTTCCCGACACTGACTCTGTGACTCTCTCCCCAGTGGACGTGACTCTGGATCCAGATACAGCAAATCCCTGGCTCGTCCTGTCTGAGGATCGGAAACGTGTGCGATTCGGAGACACACAACAGGATCTGCCCAACAACCCTGAGAGATTTGATACATACCCTGAAGTTCTGGGTGCTGAGGGGTTCACGGGCGGGAGGCGTTACTGGGAGGTGGAGGTGGGAGACAAGACTAGATGGACTCTGGGGGTTTGTAGGGAATCTGTGAACAGGAAGGGGGAAAGCTCATATTCACCTGGGAATGGATTCTGGGCCATGTGGCTGAGGAAAGGGGAATACAAGGCCTTCACCTCCCCCCCGACCCTCCTCCCCGTGAGCGTCAGGCCCAGCCGGGTGGGGATTTTCCTGGACTATGAAGCGGGCGAGGTCTCATTTTACAATGTGACTGACAGGTCCCATCTCTTCACTTTCACCAATACCTTCTCCGGGACGCTCCGCCCTTTCTTCTGTCCTGGTGTCAGCGCTGGGGGTACAAATGTGGCGCCCCTGATAATCTGCCCGGTCCCAGCTCAGGCCGGAGGGAATCTCGGTCCTTGACAGCGACACCCACGGCACAAACTGTCCCATCCCAGCACCGCTGCTCTTCCCACCCTCCCCTCCCCCAGTGCTGCAGGCCAGTTACTGCAGCAACTGGACTTTTTGTGCTGACCGGACGCTGCCAGTTTCCCTTTTCAACTGGAGGTTCCAGTCGGAAACCAGACACCTGGCAACCCCCAGCCCTCAACTTTCCCCGTCCGCTGCCCCAGGGGTAGCAGGTGGTGGTGGATGGGGTCATTCACATCTGTCAGAATTTTCTACCCCTGTGAAATCTCAATGTAAAATATGAAAGAAAAAGATTATTCTAATTTAGAAACTATTTTATAACAAGGTATAAATACAAGAATATTTTCATTTACATTTCAACCGCATTTCAAAAACAAGCATCTAAACATATTTTTAGAAATGGTAGTATTTACATTTATTTTTTGATTCTTCCCTCAAATCTATATTGAAATTTAATTTCTCTAAATAACATCATTTGTATTTCAACTGTGGAATTGCAAGAAATCCAAAATATTTATCTTAACAAAATAAACTATTAAATTGTCAGGCTGGGTTGTTCAGTGACGCTGTACATGTGTCATAAACATCACAACTACACACGTGTAATCTCTTCTACAATCCCCATTTTTTAATTTATTTTTATTTATAAATATTATTTGCAGGCAATGTATTGTCAGTGTCCACTGTTGATTTCAATATACTGCCGGGCTCTTCATGTTCTTGGTTATAAGGACACAACAAATGTAGTTTGATAAAGAAATAGAGAAGGGGTGGTATTCCTTTACTGAATCACCAGAAATTAACTTAATTATATTAAAGACCCTGGCATATAATGACACATAACATGAAATTTGGTGAAGCTTTATTGGGAAACCTTTCTTCTCAGCCATAAATCAGTTGAAAGGGTGACATTTTTGTTGTCATGTGAGGTTTAGAGTACAAAGAAAAGAAAGTTGCTCCAGGAAATTCTTCACAATTCCTCTGGGTTCTGTCCACCACCTTCTGGAATGCTCTGTAACAATAGTGACCGATTGGTCTAATTCCTTTAAATTAGCAACTGAACCTAATTTCGTAAAGAGCTAGCTGAGCAGTGTAGGAGGGGAGGTACATCACATGGCTTTGCTAGGACTACTTTTTTAAACATGAGGTGTTATGAACATTTTCAATGTAATAATTCAGTCTGAAGATTTATTCACAATGTGCCATTCATGGCAGTGTGCCCCAAACTTAACTTGATTATTTGAAAATAAATACCCTGAAATTATCTTTTGATTCATAGAATCATAGAATATCGGGGTTGTAAGAGACCTCAGGAGGTATCTAGTCCAACCCCCCTGCTCAAAGATTGATTTATTTGTGGTTTTTATCCAGTCTGCTGCTGTCTAGGTGGCATGGGCTGCTGAAGCAATGTGTTTTTCCTAGTTTTTAACAGGGAAATTTTAATCTAAAAATAGATAATTTCCCCCTAAAATTTCCTTAAGAAACACCTGTGTTCCTTTCCCTATTTCTCACTGAATTATGTGTAATTACTCTGGTTTCTTATTCAATCTTATTGTTTTATTACATGGGGAAATATGTTGGCAAATAGGTCAATATACAACATGTTTTTTATTATCTGACAAGACATAAAAATGTGTTGTCACTCACAATTTACAGCATGAAGTGTTATGAAGAGATTGCAGGCAATGTTCAAAATTAAATTTCTAACTATGAATGGGCTCCCCCATCACTTCCTGCAACCCCTGGCTGGCAGACCTCTTTGTGAATTAAGCAGCAGGCAGTCTGCCAGGGAACCTCCACCAAGTGTCTTTATGACTTTTTATGGTGCATCCCAACATAGCAGCAGTTATGAAGAGCCCCCTTCCTGCTCCAGACTTTTATACTGCTGCTTTCTTCTCAGCGCTGAGCTACTGACCTCCTCAGGCTCAAGTGATCCCCTCTACCCCTTCCAAACCCAAACTACTCAGTCCCTGCTACTCTCACTGCACCCAGTGCTGGCTTCCAAAGGGCTCAGTTTGTAGCTGCTAACAGCCCCCTGTCATAGAATATCAGGGTTGGGAGGGACCTCAGGAGGTCATCTAGTCCAACCCCCTGCTCAAAGCAAGACCAATCCCCAGACAGATTTTTGCCCCAGATTCCTAAATGGCCCCCTCAAGGATTGAACTCTCAACCCTGGGTTTAGCAGGCCAATGCTCAAACCACCAAGCTATCTCTCCCCCCCATGCTTGTGTAATTCACCCTTTAGTGAAAATAATACCACATGTAAACTGTTATCTCATTATTCAATTCAGAACCCAGATCTGCCAGTATCTGCTCTGCACAGCCATGTCGATATATAAGTTTACATGTTTTCTTCTCCACCTCATGTGCTGTCATAGATCTAAGTGGAAATTCTTCTACCTATTTAGAAAAATCATCTGTAACTGTCAGGACACGTTGGTATCATTTCTGTGATACTGGATAGAGCCCGATTAAATCTGCTCTCAGCAATTCCCAGGGTTTAACAACCTATGTGCAAGAACACGGGCTAGAGCAGGGGCAGGCAACCTATGGCACGTGTGCCGAAGGCAGCACGCGAGCTGGTTTTCAGTGGCACTCACACTGCCTGGGTCCTGGCCACTGGTCCGGGGGGCTCTGCATTTTAATTTAATTTTAAATGAAGCAGCTTAAACATTTTAAAAACGTTATTTACTTTACATACAACAATAGTTCAGTTATATGTAAGCAGAGTCAGGATGAGCTCTACCCTGACATCTGGTGGTGAATTATGGCGAGTGTGGAAAAGAACTCCAGGGGCTGATCTTGTTTGCATAGGCACACCCACCCGCCTGGCATGAAATAACAGCAACTGAGAGTGGTTACTTTGGCTGGTGTGGGATCCCCAGTTTCTCTGTTATTGGGGCAGGAAGAATAAAGTTTTGTTACCCTGATTCTGTGAATCAAGGCCAGTGGAACTGTTGTATGACAGAAGGACTCACCATTACCTAAGTAGCACTTGCTTGTCAAGGGGCATGGGTTACAAAACCCAGTGGATTGAGAGAGGATGGGGGTGGGTATTTGTATCTGATGGTATGGTGCCCCTTGTGGGCTTGAACAACAGTTGTACCACCTCCTCTTTCCACTGTTGAATGTCAGAGCTAACTTTGATTCCATTAGGAGTCTAGTTACAGACTGCTGAGCTGAATTCACTTTGGGCCAATGGTGCACCAGCACTGGGGCTCCCCTACTATGAGCTGAAATTACTAGGAGCTGAAATCACTGAGTGCTGTGTTAACTAGTGGGAGAGCCTGAAGTTATATTGCTAAGCAGCTGGAGGAACAATTTGCGGGGAAGACTGGAGGAGCAGCGAGCAGTGCGGAGCCTTGTGGGGACGGTTGGAGCGGCCCAAGGAACGGCAGCTGTTTGCGGGGATGGCTGGAGTGGCTCACAGGTCGGTGAGCGGAGCAGAGCAGCTCGTAGAGCAGACCAGTTTGTGGGATGGCAGGAAGTGGACTGGCTCATGGTGAAGGCTGTGGTGGAACCCCACGGAGAGACGGCCGGCTGGCCTTGGATCACGTAAGGTGCCCCTTAACACCCTGTGTGCCCCCCTTTTACTCTGGGGCTGCACTGACCAGGGACAGAGACTTTGGGGGTTGTTGGACTTTTGGGACTTTGGGTGGTTGCTGGCCCCAAGAGACTTTGGGGGTGTTGGACTTTGGGGACTCTGGGTGATTTTTGGGTTGCTAGATTCAAGAACCAAAGGAAAAGGACACAGCCCAATTTGCTGGGGTGGGCCTTTTGCTCATGGTTTGTGTTATGAATCCTGTTTGTGGTGTTTTTTCCAATTTAATGCTGATGTCGTTTACCTCATGTTATTAAATATTTTCTGCTACACTCAGACTCCGTGCTTGCGAGAGGGGAAGTATTGCCTCTTAGAGGCACCCAGGGGGTGGTATGTAATTGTCCCAGGTCACTGGGTGGGGGCTCGAGCCAGTTTTGCATTGCATTATTGAAACGGAACCCCTAGATACAGAACCCGGCCCTTGTTGCTGCCAACTTAGATGGGCAGAAGGGTTACATATATATTATAGACTTATAGAAAGAGACCTTCTAAAAACATTAAAATGTATTACTGGCACGCGAAACCTTAAATTAGAGTGAATAAATGAAGACTCGGCACACTACTTCTGAAAGGTTGCCGACCCCTGGGCTAGAGTTATCATTTGGATCTTCCCTATGTCATTTTTGTTATAATCCCATACATAGTAAGCAAAGTAAATGTTATAATGTGGTTTCTGTAATAGTTGATGTCTCCACACAGTCAGAATCTAACTTTTGGTGTTTTTCAGAAGTAAATAAATACAGGCCAAACTTCTGCAACTGAAAACTTGCATAAATACACTGTGCAGGGCCTGTGATGCCCATGCTCCAGCAATATTCAGGGCCCGGGGGCCTGGCTCCACCAATGTTCAGGGCTGGGTGTTTCCCACAGCCCTGCCTGCCACCCCCACATGCCTCCCCCAGAATGTCCCTGCCTGCACCCTGGGCAGCGGGTGGCTTTCCTGCTGCTCTGCAATGCACTCCCTCACCGGCTGCTGCTGCTGGCTACAACAAAGGGACCATCACCGGCGGCAGGCTGAGGCGACTGCTATGCCAGAAGAGGGAGGAGAGGAGGTGCACATATGATGGCAGCCCCCTCACCCCGGGCACCCACCAGGCGCTGACTCCGACGCCGAGGGGGCTTCCTGGACTCAGGACCTGAGCAGCTGGGACTTGGGTGAGTGTCGGACTCATGATACCCTGCCCCCACACCCGCAATCGCGACTCCTGCACCACGCTTGGCAAGGGGCAGCCCCATCCCCTATCGCCAGTGAGGCTATGGTGAGGGGCAGCAGCAGAGGCAGAGGTGCACACGGGACGGCAGCTCCCCCGCACTGAACACCATGGAAGAGAGGGGTCTTCCTGGACCTTCCTGGTCACCACTCCTGCCCCAGGCTGGCTACGGGACAGCCCAT